GTGTTATAGGGGTTATCGTTCTCATCTCGGGTGACAAAGATTTTTCCTCTTCTACGTCTTTTATGATTCATCGAGGATGGAGCGTATTGGTTGCAGAGCCGGATAGAGAATCTGTTTATCTTCGTTATGGGGCGAGAGCAATCTGGAAGTGGAATAAGTTGGTTTTTGGAAGAAAGTTCGAGATAACTCAGCCAAGACTCCCCGGATATTAGTTATGTCTAAATATTTTAGGATTTAGGAATTGATGGTATTTAGGGACTTTTATGTACTTTTCTAAATATGATTTTGAGGACTTGAGCATTGTAATGATTCGACTAAAATCTAAGGAAGTAAGACTTTCAAATTTGAATTAGTGTTATAACATTTGATTCAAAGAAATGTTAAATTGGAAAACTTGAGAATTATATCATGTTCTCAGTATATAGAGACAAGCAGCTCCTACCAAAACACGAAGACGTTACGATCCTTCTGTCTGTGATGATTGTTCCTCCCAACACGAAGATCCTGCAGATGGCATGGTTGATAGATACCACCGTTAGGAAGGTTGAATCTTCTGCAATGGAGAAATGTTTCTGTTCAAATTCGGAACTGAAGTGTTAGCTTTGTCAGAATCAATCAAATTGTTGCTATATATCTTCTCTTCTTGCAGGTTGTGCTTGCTCGTCGCTCTGTTGATGACACCAAGGTCTCTTGTAGTACAACCTCATAAAGATGCCGAAACAACCTCTCCTTGGAACCGTGTATTGGTTTACGTTCTTGTTCTTCCTTAAGCTACGTTGGTTATAAGAACCAAAAGTAGTTAAATCTTTGCTCCGCATTGTCTCGGATAGCACAAGCGTTGATCTTGTGCACTCTCCGGATCAGTCACTACTCCGGAGTTTACAATCAGGCGGAAGAAACCAAAAAATTCAAAAATGCAAATGCACTACTCTGCATTCATTTTGCAATGCACCTGAAACAGTGAATAGAGGAGTAAACATCAAAACATGTTTAATGAAAAAAATGCAGAGACAGATCGATTCAAGCAGACTGCTACCTGTACTCTATCGGATTGCTCTATCTACCCGTTTCTACCTATTCCCTGATCTGTGCATCTCAAATAGCCTTTAACGCTTTCTTCTCATATTTCCTCAACTCTCAAAAACTCATTCCTATCATTTTGAATTCTCTTTTCCTCCTAACTATTTCCTCCACCCTCCTTGCATTCAACAACGAGGAACCACAAAAAGTTATAAAAGGAGAGTATGTGAAAGGTTTCATATGCACCGTTGGTGCCTCAGCAGGGTATGGTCTAGTCTTATCCCTACACCAGCTAGCCTTTCGTAAAGTGCTTAAGAAGCAACTTTCTCAGAAGTTAATCTACGTGAGTCTAGCGGCCAGTTGTGTTACCGTGGTGGGGCTTTTAGCTAGCGGCGAGTGGAAAAATTTGAGCAGTGAAATGGAAAACTACAAACATGGGAACGACTGTTACCTGGCAGATATTCAGCTTCGGTGGCACAGGACTGATCTTCGAGCTTTCTTCTCTATTCTCAAATGCAGTAAGCGTTTTGGGATTGCCCGTGGTTCCTATCCTGGCTGTCATCATTTTCCATGACAAAATGACTCTTGTTTACATCATTGTAACAGGAAGTAGACTTAATTTAAATAAAAAGTAGATGACTCTTGTTTAGTTTTGAAGAAGCTACCCAAGTCACTTATAAGCTCAGTACAATGGCGGCATTAACAACTTTAGAACAGATGATTACAAAAGTTCAGTATTTAAAACTTGAGTTCATAGCAACTAAAAACGAATGTGACTCGTTCCTGTAGGCTCTGTAGCTATTCTAAGTTATTGTAATAAATCTAGGTGTGAGGAGAGTTCCAACCAGCGCTTACATCAGGCACCCGACATAGTGAGCCCGAGGATTTATACTTGTTTTGCAGTTGAGGCCATTGAACAAAGAATTGATTAGCAGATCCACTTAACAAGAGCTTTTTCACTCTTGCTACGCTCTCAACATAAAAAAGATAGATGACCATCTAATTCCCACTACCTGTAACCACGGATGAGACACGAACTTAACAAAATTCTACATACAACCCAAAGAAAACAAAAAACCGAAGAAGAAGAAGTAAAAAATCAGGACGAGTTATAAGAAGTAAAAAGAGAAGTCATTGGCAAACGCAGGGTAACATAACCGAATCCTTTTATCTTCTTTAGTACAACATGAGTGATTTATTATTAGTCAAAACACAAAACATAATACGACAAAACACAAAACAAAGTGATCATAAAAACCATTGTTTTTCATGACAAAACATAATAATGATAACAAGGATAAGGTGATAGAACTTAGTCAGATTCTTCTATTCCTCTCTTGCGGTTTCCAATTCCTGTTAGGCGTTCCCAAGACAACAACGGAAGATTATCCTCATCGTACGACTCCGCTGGTGGGATTTTTTCATAAGGCAGTGCAAGGAAAACATTGTGACCTCTCAATTTCAAACCACGAAGGGTAGACCGGAGGCGCAATTTATCGTCATTTTCCAAGGGATTCGTGATTACCAGCAGATTTGGGCGGGACAGAGGAGGATAGCAACGCTTAGTAGGATTGTCCATTGACCACAAAAGAAAGTCCATTGTAATCTTAGCAAGTCTTGCAAACTTGTCAGCTGGAGCATTGCGTACCACATTGACTTTGATTCCAGAGCCATGCGCAACAAATTCCTCTTTCACAACATAGGCGTAGATCAGCGCGCCGCCACCAGAAGAAGGAACACGAGAACGAACAGCTGCTATGATATTCTCATAAAACTTAGAGAGTTGGAGACCCGGAGGGAGTGGGTAATCCTCTACATCCCAGAAGACGCATGTATCAACATTGGCGGGCATTGAGAACTTAATGGTATGGGGATCTGGAGCTGGAGGCTCTATAAAATAGCCCTCCTTTTCATCTCCATGCTCTGGCTGTGGTGGGCAGTCAAGGTCGAATAGGTTTGGACAAATCCAAACTGGGATTCTACGATCCGTTTGCTCATCGCATACAGTCATTTCAGAACTAGTGGCGACATCAACCTCAGGCAGTGCAAATAAAACATGCTTATCGCGTACAGTCATTCCAGAACTTACATCAACCTCAGGGAGTGCGAATAAAACATGGCGGCCTCTTTGTCTCAAAGAACCAAGAACCTTACAGATCATCTCCGAGTCTTGTGACAGTTTTGAGATGATGACCAATTTGGATCGTCGGTACTTACGTGCTGATGCCCGTAAAACAATACCCACTAACATCAAATGAAGTCTTTCATGTTCACTCCCATTTGTTGTTTGAAAAGTGNCGAATCCTTCATAATCATAATACCCATCCCTCACCTCTTTTGGGAATTTCTCGGCATCACCATAAACCGTAACACAGGGACCATAGAGACCCCTTTCTACGAGGGCAGGCGCCATGGACCCAAAGATAAGATCAGAATCCTCATACCCATCGGGGAGCCAACTGTCCGTGTTCCAGAAGATATTTGTAACAACCGCTGCGAAAACGCAAATAAACAATCATTCAAGTTATGAACAATCTAATTGACGGACCAAAATGTAACATTGAACCCAAAGAAGGAAGAAGCAGTAACAGAAACCCAAAAGTCATCAAGATATTGCTCATCAATTATTCACGATTAGATT